AAAAACGTGCAAGGCAGAGTATAATACAACGTTATTGTGTATTTTGACGATCTTTTTGTGTTGATTTCGTAATTTCTTCTATTGCATCTGACTATCGACTTGTGTCATTTTATTTGATTGTCGTTTCATTTTAACGTTAGATAATACTCATTTTGACGTTTTAAGTAGTACAAATCGCATAAAATAGACACGTTAGGTTGCCCTTCATACGCATAATTTCTTAAACATTGGACATGTGTGAATCTATTGCATACGCTACATGAAATAACATCACGTTCTCGCCGTCTAAAGCAAAACTGGCATGAGTGGCGCATATCAATTGATTTTTTTATTAACAAACTCGCCATTGCAATTCTATAATTAATTGGATCAAACAAGGTGTCAATTTTTTCGTTTTTTCCAATCATATCCATAATGTAAATTATAAATAGGCCACAACTATGACCATCTGTTTGATATGGACGTGAAGTTGTAAACCAAGTTAGTGTCCAAACAGTTTTCGTGAAAACATTACTAACACCTAATTGGTTGCAAATGTTAATGTATGCCACAAATTTTTGAAACAACTCAGTGGCTTGCGATTATAAATATTAAAAAGATCGTTTTATAAGATCTATAAATGTTACCGTTTTTTCATCGATGTCAATCATAAAAATTTCATAATGATTTCTACGAACAATGGGCATAAAGACTTTTCCATTGCTTGGAAAAGGTGCTGTTAACATAACCCAGTCACGGTTGTACGTTACTTAGATTTAATGTAGTATTAAAAATCAAATGTGTTTGCTGCATTGAAACAAATGTTGCATTTGTCCATTTTTAATTCAATGTTAAAATCAACGTTGAACCAACCTTGATCGATGTTAATTTTAATATTGAAATCAATGATAAAACGCAACGTTGATCAATGCTGATTTTAATGTTGATCAACGCTGATTACAACTTAGGTGTCAATGAAAAAAAGAGAAATTTGTGAGCATGTATGTAATTACATATTAACATTAATCATATTTACATTGTGATTTTATCTGCAAAGACAAACTGGCGTTGGTTTCTAACCAGCCATTTATTTTTGTAAGTAAAAGAATAAAGTTTAAACCTGGCGTACGGATCGCCTTGCCAGTGTGTAATGTTGGGACTTTATTTCTTATTTATTCACTAAAATGAAACAAAAGATCATACGTTTGGGAAGATGATACGTTTTAGAATAATAAATTTTAGTAATTAAATAATTGCATTATATTACAATTGAAAATGTTTTTAAAAAAATGTTAAATTAATCTAATGTAACAATATGTTTGATTATTATTAAAAAAGGTAGTTATCTTGTAAACGCAAAATTATGTAGCATTAAAAAAATAAAAATAAATAAACATATTAGGTAGGTCGAGTTATTGTTTCCAGGTATTAATCTTTTTTTCTGTAGATCCAGGATGTCCAATGTGCCTTGGTCACCACACACCAGTGATGTTTGAACCTTGTGGCCATATACACGCTTGTGAGTCCTGCCTGGATTCATTGCGTCAATACGAGCGAAAAAAAAAATTGAATTCATTGTTCAGATGTCCAGTTTTTAGAGTAGATGTTGTTGGTTATCACTTATTAAGAAATTGACTGTTATAAGAAACTATTAATTTTTGTATACTACTTATTATTTATTTAAATAATTTATAACATTACAAAGAAAAATATTTATCATCGTATTTTGCATGTTAAAAGTATTATAAATTGTTAATATTTAAAAAAAATTATTTTGTACATAAATTTTTGATAAATTACATTCAAACTAAGTGAAAAAATGTATAAATAGTTGTTTATTTATTTTAGAAATGCTTATTCACTGAGAAATGAGTTTACATAACTTATCACTTTTGGCAAGATAAGTAAAAAAAAAAATTGAGCATCATAATGCATAATCACAGCATTTTTAATCTAGCTGTAAAGTCAAGTTTCATGCATTGCATGCTAGAAAGACGTATAATGTAAATGAACATCAGCCGTAATTATATCTATAAAAAATAATAAATATAAATAATTACTTATATTCGTCCCGAGAATTCATGGAGCAGAGATGAAGTAGTTGTGATTTAATTCTTATTTGCTTAGACGAAAAGTCGAATTCGATTAGTAGAAACCAATATACTAAGAGAGAAAAACAAAGATCTCAGGCTGCACTAATCTTCATTTTATTTTAAGACTTCATATTTTATGGCTGCATGGGTGAGAAGATGAATAAAAAATCACGTTATTCGACTATCTTTGATTTAGATAAGTCAAATTAAATTGGTATAAAATCGAATACAAGCAACGTGAGAAATCAAAGTCTTATTTATTTTTCTTCAAGATGAGTATGGTGTAATATTTAAAAGAAAAATAGCCATGAACTGTATGAAAAAAATTACTATTTCATAAGATGAATTATTTTACATACCTAGCAGAAATGAATAAAATAAAATAATTTAAAAAAATGTATACATATACCTAGCAGCAATGAGTGCTTAAAAAATTAGCAGTAACATAAAATAATGATTCATATAAATAGTGTGTGCAACCCTACGTTGTATGTTATCCATTTGAATAATTCAGAATGTTGACCTTTCGTATTTTTTAAATTCTTTATTGTGATATGTTCTGAATCATCACTTTTTATAATATTCTGAATTGTGAACCATTCTTTATAATTAATTTACTTAAAAGTAAGTTCGTNTTCTATAACTTATAACTATAAGATTAAAAATTTTTTTTTTTTTCGAAAAAAATAACAGAATTTCTTTGATTGCACTTACCGTAAAATTTTTTTTTCTTAAATATAAGCCTTTTAAAAATAAGTATTGTGAATGAAAAATTTGTAAATTATGGCAAATCTGTCAAAATACTTGTTTAAATAATAATTTTTTTAATTTCAATAAACATAAATTATAATAACATTTTGTTTTGAATATACATACAAAAATAGAGATTATCTTATATAAAGTGTTCTGACACTTGACATTTCTATAAAATTTTCATCTTTATTAAACAATTCTAAAAAATGACCGGTTCGGAGTTATAAATTTTCGGAAAAAAGACACCCACCCACAGCGCTATACTAAGTTATAAAATAATGACTTAGCTAAAATTAGCACTGATAAAACGATCGGCCGAAGTAAGCCCTTTTTAAGGAGCTCTGTCAAAATAGGCCCTTCCTTAACGCAAACCCGAAATTGGATCTTATTTCACCAAATCAATGAAATTGCATCTTTCGGTTGAGCTTACGTATATTTTTACGTCTAATTAAGTAATCGTTTTCTAACTATGATTTTTCTTCGTAATTTCCAATATGTCTTCTGTTACTTAAAAACTATTTCCACCATCACTTTGAACTACCAGTACTGGAAGTAACATTTCACAGACCGTAGATATTTTCATTAAGTCTTTTTTTGACGTAATGTCATTTTCCAAACTAAATGTACGCGCTCTAGTCTAGCATTGGCGTCTATTGGACAGAGAGAAAAGAAACACAGATAACCGGTTTTTTAGAAGTATTTGTTACCACATTTATCCTTTAATGAAGCCACGTGATGCCAGAATGTTGTAACCTTAGCATCGTTACTCATTA